TGTTGTCAGGCTTTTAGTGTAGAATGTAAGACTCCACAGCCAAGTACAAAGATATGAGGGTTTCAGCCCTGTTTTCTTCTAGTTTTATTGTTGTTTTTAGCTTTTTAAATCTATTCTGAGTTGATTTTTGTACATGGAATGAGGTAAGGATCGAATTCATTCTTTTGCATGTGACCATCCAGTTGTCTCAGCACCCTTTTGAAAAAGCTATTCTTTCCCCATTGAATGGTTTTGGCACCTCTGTCAAAAATGAGTTGATAAGAAATGTATGGGTTTCTTTCTGGACATTTAATTCTACTCCAATGGTATCTATGTCTATTCTTGGGCCAATGCCACACTGTTGTGACAGATAAATGGGATGAAGAGGCACAGTCTCAAACATAATATAAATTAATAAAGGAAATGAAAGTACAGTATAGAGTATAGTCACTAATTCTGTAACGCCTTTCTATGTTGACAGTAACAGAACTAGTTGAGGGTGAGCATTTAATAATCATTGTGCTGTATACCTGAAATATAGTATATTAACTATACTTAAAAAAATACCAGGTCTGATTACCATTGCTATGTTCTAAGTTCTGAAATTGAGTAGTGTGTCTGCCTTTATTCTTCTTTTTCAGGACAGTTTTCTTATTCTGAGTCCGTGGAGATTCCACATGAGTTAGCTAGTCAATTTTCACAAAGAAGTTGCCTGGGATTCTGATGGGATTGCACCGAATCCAGAGATTGGGGAGTATTACCATCTTGATGATGTTAAATTCTGATCCATGAACATGGATGGGATTTGTTTCCATTTATTTAGATCTTCCTTCTTTCAACATTTTATAATTTTCACAGTATAATTCTGCACTTCTTTGGTTTATTCCTAAATACTTTTGCTCCCCCCAAGTACTTTTTTGATGTTATTGGGCATGGAATTGTTTTATTTCATTTTTGGATTTTCATTGCAAATATACAGAAATGTAATTGACATTTGTATTGATCTTATGTTCTGCAACCTTGCTGAACTCTAATAGTGTTTTAGTGGATTCCTTGGGATTTCCTATATACAAGCTTATGCCATCTGGCAATATAGCTTTATTTCTTCCTTTCCAATCTTAATGCCCTTTATTTCTTTTTCTTGCCTCACTGACGTGACTAAAACTGCCAACACAATTTTGACTAGAAAGGGTGAGAACCCCTTGTGTTGTTCCTGATCTTAGGGGAAAAGCATTCAGTCTTTCGCCGTTAAATATGATGTTAGCTGTAGATTTTTTGTAGATGTACTTTATCAGGCTATTCCATCCAATAGCATTTTACCATTCCCAAGGTGAATTCAACTTTGCTCTACCATGTCAAACTCAAACTGCTCCCATTCTTATCTTTTAGATGATACCACTATTCTCTTGTTTTAGGTTGGATTTGCTAGAAGCAAAACCCAAGGAGGTGATTCTGTACAAGTGGTTCATTAAGCGAGCGCTCTCATGTTAAACCTGTAATGGAGTAAGGGAAGTAAGACAGGATGGGGAAAAAGGCAAAGATACGGGTTTGGCTGGTAAATCTAGCCTCCACTGAGTACTCCTGGCACACAAATGGCACATCTGTCCCCACTTGAGAAGGGGAAGGGATTTTTGTACCCTAGTATCATTTGCTGATAACAATTGGTGCTAAGTAAACAAACAGACAGGATGATTTGGTAGGGACAGCCTCACCTATCCAAGTTTTTGCACAGTGCGCTCATGAGTAGACACCTTGGTGGTGGAGATGGAGACCATTTATTGGCCTATTAATGGACCTCTAGTACCACGAAATTTCCGAGGTCCCACGGCCCAAGCAGTAGGGCTGGACCTGCTGGAGAGGCCTTCCTTGCAATCTCAAGCACAGAATGCGCTGCCTCCAAAACTGGAAGAGGCCTACCAAGATATTGTGCTTTTTTCTTCGAGTAAAAGAGACAAGATGCTTTAACGTACCCTTTACTTTAGAGAGGATGCCCGATAAGTCTCCAGATCTCTACACTCCTGAAACCTTAACCCACATGGCAGAGACCTGCATCTTGGCAGGATTTGTCTCCCACCCTCTGGAGTGTGTATATCTGATCAAGGAATCCAGAATACTGACACTGCCTGTTCATCAAGTCTGACTAACATACCCTTGTAATATCTGAGTAACACAAGCTTAACAAAGCAAATGAATGTGCTTGTTCTGCAGAATGTCCAGCTTGCTTTGGACTACACTGTGACAAGAGGGGGGCGATTACCAGCTCTAGATCAAGACTGGGAACATACACACTGGCCCATCACTTGCGAATGCAAACTGTTTCTGAAACTCCTTTCTGATGAATATTGAAAGAACATATTCTCTAAATCAGGGGCCAGCAAATTTTCACTAAAGGGCCAGACAGTACATATTAATAGCCACATCCCTATCCCAGAGGCTGTTACTATTCTCAGTAAAGAAAAACACATTCAACACAGGACTGCACTTGCGTCTACTATTTGCTTCAGTGTGCAGTAATGCATTGCAATCCACCATAGGTGACCCTGTTTTTGCAAGGGCCAGCCAGGTGAAATTAAGTGAGGATGCGACCAACATCCCTGCATCCTTTTAAGACTCTAAGGGTAGAACTAATTTCTGCCATTTTCCCCAGAATGCAGTATTACACTTTTATTTACCATCGGCAGATGTAGGGATGCAGTTTCAAAGGCTTCTATTTGGGCTTTCTACCAAATGCCAAGTATGTCTATTCTGAATATACATTTGGAAAATGGAAAAATGACCATCAAGTATTTGGACCTACTGTGAGGCAGATTTGAGCAAGTATTCCATTTATTATCTGACTCCATATTTTCCTACCCTATTGGCAAGGGGAGTGAGGGGAAGCACAGGGAGGGGAAGTTAGACTATGGTGCTGCTTTGGGTCTCTGGGTATCAGTGTCAACTCAGACCGTCCACCCCATTTTCCAATTTAAAGTCTAGGTATTCTTCTTTCCCTATTGTACAGTTAACTAAGTAAATGGCTTTTTCAGTTGATAGGGTAAGTCTGAGAATTATCTCAGGCACAGAAACTAAACAAAGAATTCTGACTCTTCACTGAAGTTACAGACCTCAGTCTTCTTTCAACCATTCTTGGTCTTTCTTAATTATATATAAATCAATATACCCTCCTTAGCTCCAAGGCCAGATATCCGGTTCTTAAGACCACTCACATTCCATAATCCATCTCTCCTCTGACCATGCTGCCCTTCTAGAAATTCGCCTACCCTGCTCCTAAGAGCTAAGTGTTGCCATTTGGACTCTGCTATACCAGTATCCTATCATCTCCACTGCTACTAGGGAAACCAGTTCTTAAACAGCATTCTCTTCCATCAACCTCCATCTGCAGACAGCCACATCTAACTTTTCAAAGATCCTGGTGACCCCTTTAGTACTGCCCTTCCTTTATATAAAGGATTTCCCAGGCCTTCCTGAGGAACATAACATAATCAATCAGCTGGGAGGGGTTTCCAGTGTAAGAGATTCATTCTTGCACGCCCACTTCCTCTAAGCCTTTTGATCATTTCTTGTATGGTCTGTTATATTAACTTCATTTGCTGGAGGCCATAGTTTTTTTCCCCAAGCTCCCCAAAACCAGCTCAACTGCATATTATAAGCACCTTATGGGGCCCTGGTCAGGATGTTCCAGAGTTATAGGAAGATGTCCCTATAATCACAAATTCTGTATGAAGTCATTTCTTAATCCATGAAATCATCCAAACCACAAATTTGTTTTCTAACTTACAGAATTTGGGGAAAAAAAGAGATGCCTCCTTTAAAGTTTGAGAGTAGCACAATTCACACATAGCTTAAACCTAAGCTTTGTAATGGTTATTTTTTAGCAGCAGAAAAATAAGCCTAGAAAAACACTACAGATATCCTTACAGGGACACAATACTGCTGAAGAAATAGTTCACTAGGGGCAACCGTCACACAGGAGAGACCAGACAGAGAAATCAGCCTGGCTAAAGGAGCTATGGACAGACCGACGAGGACCCCAGGGCAGGACGGCTCCAAGGAGGCTGGAAGACTTGTACCAGTCTGTGCCATCGTTAAGTTAGAAATTGAGGGTGTTTGGAAACTTTTTAGCATTTTGACATTGCTATGATATCCAAGAGATTGACCAATGGATTATTTGATGAAGAGGGTCCGGTCCATTTGGGTGTTGTCAAACTTGCGTGGTGGGTAGCCTAAGTGTGAACTGCGTGCTGTCATGGGCAACAGGAACACAAACTGGCATGTGAAGGACTGGATATTCATAAAGCAGAACACCTGCTCCTTTAACACAGTTTGAGGAAGACTGCTCCATCCTTCCACAAGTCCTACAGTAATTCAAATAGTGTTTCTGGATCAGAGAACAACCTGAGGTCAATCTGTCCATATTCAATCAAAATGAAAATGAAAATGAATGACTTGGGAATAAAACTAAAGTGGACTAGGGCACCTGTTTCAGATTTCTGCAGAAAGCCCTGGCCAGGCTAGGAGAAGCAAGAATTTGTAAAAGAAAACTGGCAGGACAGCAGGCACAGTTCAAGGGGCAGGGCCCTTTTGTTATCGCCCCTCTTCTTTATCCTTGTCACATTTTTGGCTGGTGCTATATCGAGAGATTCTTGGCAATTCCGGCCCTGTGACCATTATCAAGTCAGCCTGTATGTTCCCATCTCTTATGGAGCAGAGGAGTCTCAGATTCAGACCTGGGCTCTTCTGTAGGTAGACTTCCCTCAGCAGCCTGAGGCCTCAAGACCATTTCCTTCCTTGGCAATACGACAGAACATGTGGGAGCTTCAGGGTTGTGAAAAGTCAAAACCAAGGGAAAGTGACATGTCATGAGCTCAAAGTGACTCAGCTATGGAATGTCCATTTGCTCTGATTGTTATTTTCTGACTGCTGAACCAGGACAGCCAGCTGGCCTGACCAGAATATCCACCAACACATGGCAGCCAAGGTCCACAGATCCACTGGCTTCCATAGAGAAGGGCAAGGTCAGCTAAAAAAAAAAAATTTTTTTTTGGAACACGTTAACAACATGTTACTAATATTAACAGTAATGTGAAATGTTATAATATCAGTTGAAGGGCTTCTCAGATTTAAATACTCAGAGGAAATAAAGAAAGATGGCCATTCAGTCTCCTTTGCCAATTGAGATGCAGACTGAGCTGGGGAAAGGGGGTGGGGGTGGAACCCAGCGCTGCAATGTTACACAGAACTGGTCTGCTAGCCTCCCTCACACCGCAGCTTACAAAGCTGAGGACAATCAGAAAAAGACCTGGATGAAAAATAGGCCACACTCCTCACTCAGAATATTTATTAGTCAGGAAAAAGGGCCCAGGCTGCACCCCAGCCCCTTTCCTAAGCCATCTCCCTGAATCAAGGGACAGGATTCAAAGGAATCGGATGCCTCCATCAAGCCAGAATGCACGTTAGGGAAGAAGACTCATTCACTTCCTATACCATAAACTGACTGTACATGTCTGCCTGAGAGAAAAGGGGCCACGGAGAGTGGTGTGTGGTCTGGAGAGGGGAACTGGATGGGCCCTCCTTTGTTCACAGCTTGGGCTCAGAGGAGGGTCGGAATAAACAGGTATTGAGGAGATAAGAGGAGAGGCTGGGGGCAAAGAAGGTCAAGGGCTGGGTTCACCAAGATCACATCGCACTGTAGAAAGACCCAGGGCAGCAACCTGAGTTCTCAGCTGGCAAGGGGAGTTGAAGGCTCAGCACCTGGACAGAAGAGAATCCCAGGGCTTCTCTTTCAACTCTACTGTGTTTAGATGCAAAAGCCCCCTTTCACCTTCAGAGAATTCACAACAGTCTGTCTCAAGGTAAGAAGGCATGATGATACAGTCCCAGACAAGGCTAAGTCTCTCCCCATTCTTCCCGAAAGGCCCTGCCCAGAAGAACTGGAAATACAGAGCCCCAGGACTCTGTCCCTGCCCCCCAGGTTCAAGAGAGGGAGTAGGGACAAGGCACGAAGACCCTGGGTGCTAAGATGTGTAGCCATAAATAACATCCATTATCCGGGGTAGAGGGAAGAAGGTACGTGCCCCCAAAGGGATCCTTCCTTCCCCTAGTAGGTAGCTGGGCCTTTGCTAGCAGCAGAAGCCACAACGGACCGGCTCACAGAAATGGCCTACGTGATTCCTAGGAAGAGAACACGCCTCATCTGGTATGGCACCATCTTGGGCGGGCTGACAGAGGGCAGTGGACAGACCGCTCCTGCAAACGGCACTCCCGCCTCAGCTCCCAGTGGTTCTATTGACTCCGGGATGTTCCCCACGGCTGGCAATCAGGGTAGAAAACATGTTGTGCTTCACATGATCAGACACTGTTCACCATTGGCACCTGGTGGGCCTGAGAGATTGAGGGCATCCAGGTCAAAGTTGAGGCCAGGTGGCTGGAGAAGAAAGAAAGGGGCTCAGAAAACTGCTCATATTTCAAGATGGACCTTCTGAAGGTCCATCCCCAGTAGCCACAATTATCACCTCAGGGAGAATCACGAAAAGCTACAGAATTCCGGGAACTCGGGCTGCAGTTCAAGTCTAGGGAGAGAAATACTCACCATCTCCCCAGCCAGCTCCTTTGGAGGGTGGCCCAAATCCTGTAGCTGGAAAATAAGGAGAGAAGGACCTGATACAGAGAGAACCCCAGGAAACAACTGGCCGAACACAACTGCCCAAAAGAAGAATCTGAGGGCTGGTCCCCCTGCTTTCTCCTGAGGACCGCGCTTGGCGGCCTCTCCAGTGCTTCCTCGTCCGCCCGCGTTTGGCAGCGTGGTATCCTCCCCGGGCACCTCCTCCACCCAACAGCCAGCGGGCACACAAAAGGAGACCTACCTGCTGCATGAGATCCAGCACCATCTCAAAACGAGCCTTCTGCGTGGCCTCACTGTCTGTGGGGGTCTCTGCCTCAAACTGCTCACATATCTTGCCCATGACACCGTGTTGTTCCTGATATTTTTCAAACTGCTCTGGAGGCAGAGAATCCCGGTGACTCTGCAACCATTCTGGATACTAAGGAAAGAAGGAATGTGAACAGTGGATAAGGAAGGGCAATAAAATCTGAACAACATGAAGCGGGGGGGACACAGGAGAAGGAAAAGCTGAACAGGAGAGTTCAGCATGAGGAATACCACCGATCCAACCAGGTCACCTGACTATGCTAGCCTAGCGTCTGGACGGCAAACTTCCTGTGAAGGGCCAGACAGTAAATAATTTAGGCTTTAAGGGCCACATATGGTCTCTGTCATATATTCTTTCTTTTTCCTTTGCTTTGATTTTACAACCTTTAAGAATGTAAAAACCATTCTTAGCTTGAGATCTGGATTTGGTCCACCCAGACCCTGGTCTGCTGAGTCCTCGTGTACACAATGCATTTCACACTCAACCACAGGTTGTGCCATGTCACTGAAAAGCTCCCACTCCTACATTTTATCTCTTCAGTAAAATTGTAAGTAAGCACTTTGGTGGCCAGGACCATCATTCAAAGTACTCTCAACCTGTTCATAGCAGAAAGCTGGTAAACCCCCAGTGACACTCTGCTGGGGAAATGAATAAAGTTAGAAATGCAAGGAATGGCTGAACAGGCAGTGACAGTCTCACACCACGTTACAGAAAACTAGAGATGTGGGATTTCCCCTTCTACCTTAAATATCCTCACTGTGGTAGCTTTGGTGTCTTACAAACACCACTCTCCTCACTCTGGATAATAAGAGGGGTAATGGGGAGGGAAGTGCAAAACTTATCAAGCGGTGGGCCGGGAGAGGAAGACGCAAAAAACAGACAGACTTGTGCGCTGCCGGTACTCCGCGCAGTCCCTAAAGCAGCCCGCGGGAGCCAATCCAGGGCGGAGAAGGAGGAAGAGCAGAACCCGGGGCTCACAAACCTTCTCCGCGATCTCCTTCAGTGAGGGGTAGAGCACATCCTTGGACAGGAGGTTCTGCATGATGCTCTGCATGATGGGGAGGACGTTCCCCTCCCCGTCCCCCTCGTCCATGCCCAGCCCTTCCATGGCCTTGGTCAGCTCCTCCTCCGACATGCCCGAGTGCTACAAAGGACGGGAGAGAGGTGAGCAAGTACACCGCCTTCACAGGGTGCATACCACCCCTTCAGGTAGGAGAGGACTATTTAAACTAGCCTGGAGCAAGAGAACGAGGCAGGGACAGCCTTGCTGTGTAGCCGACACCCAACAGTCTGTCTTTGGAGGTTCTGCGGGTGGAATGTCTGGGAGGAGGCCCCTCGGGGCTCCCTCCCTCTTGCCCCTCACCTGCAGATCAGTGGCATTTTTGGCTAGTCCGCTTAGTGTCTCCTTTAGGCACGAAGTGAATTCTTGTTGGGAGGTCGCATCACTGCCTAGGAAACAGCAAAAGAACAAAAGTCACTTAGGATTTTACTTGTTTGCTCAAGACCTAGACTGACCTAGTTATCAATTTGGATGTGGAGCATTTTACTACTGAATCACTAGGACTCCACATCTTTGAATACTCTGGGGTCACCTTTCAAAGTCATTTTCACAAATCTACATGGACTGTGTGTCAGTTTCTTCCCCAGGATAATACAATAAACACTGCAACCTCTAAAACGGTTAAGTTTTCAATAATCTTTTCTATATATATTTTATATCTCTGAGATACATATATATACATGATGTACATTATATATATATAATGATTGCTATCAACTTTACTAAGAATTTTAGTGTTCTCAAGCAACTTAAGACATTTCTTGGGAATATTTCCAGTTGTCTGGGGCTCCCTCCTCACCCACTCTCCCTGCGGCCTCCGAGAGCTTCTGGAACTGCTCTACCAGGTGAGGTTCTTCCTCAGCCAACTCCTTCATTGCCTTCTCGAACTCTGCAGTGGCTTGGGAAGCCAGCTCGCTGTCGAATAGTTCCTGGAAAAACTTCTCTTGGGAGGCGAAGAGGGCATCCTGCAGGGGACAGGTGGCCACAATGCATCTCTTACTTGGCACCCCACTGCACCTGGCCTCTGACAGAAGCCACAGGCAGCAGCTCTTAGAAATCACAGTGCTTCCCTCCCACCCACCACCATCGGACTTTGTAACCCCCTCCTCTTACAGAGGACAGCAGGAAAGGCATCTGGTGGCGATCCCAGACTAACCATTCAAACCTGCTCTTTTCTCAAGGAACTTCCTTGGGATCCCTCCACTCCACTTCAAGTCCCCGTTTCTCAAGGACTGGGGCCTTCAGGAGCACTCAGCAGTTGGAGGCCAAGGCACCCTCCCCTCCACCCGCGCCCCAGCCCTCAGGGGCCTGCCCCACCTCTGCTCAGAAGTGCATGCGCACCCCCTCCCCCTCCCTTAGTGGGTGCAATTTATACTTTGGCAGTGTCTGCTGGCGATCTCCTCTGGGGCCCCGAAGCATCAGGGGCCGTGGTGGTAGGAAGGGGTGCTGGGGAGGGTTTGGCCTTATCGAAATCGTCAAGAGCACCTTCAGAGACAAGAGACATGGTGTGTGTGTTGGGAATGGATGAGGATGCAAGGCTGGGGGTGGGGGAGAAGTTCTGGGCAAAATACTAAGATCTTTCAAACTGCCAACTTCCCTACATTTCTCTCCCTTTTTTTTGAGTCTTCCTCTCCCGGCCCACCCCTTGATAAGTTTTGCACTTCCCTCCCCATTACCTAATCTATTGTGATCAAAGGGGAAGAAATTCTGTAAGAGGGAACAGGTGTCTCTCTCAGAGCTGGGAGGAGAACATTAAAAGAAGTTCTGCAGAGACACCTCCATCTACACAGTACCTTCCCTGCTGCATTCGAATGATTCCCTACAAATACCAAAGAAATATCCAAACGGAGCAGAAACACAGATGTCCTTAATCACCTAAACTTATTCTGGAGTCCTAAGGAATAATCTTTGGCAAGAAAGGAGAAGCCGAAAGATGTCCACCCAGCCTCCCATGGGCCCGGGTACCGGTACAGCCTCCTCACTGCCTCCCTGGGAAGGCATTAGGTAGGCTCTCTTCTTTAATCCTCCCATTTAGCCCTCCCTGGGCAAAGTTCCCTCTGCCCTCATCTCTGCTGATAACGATGTGCCAATTCACACAGAGTCACTTGCCACTCCTCGCTGTTTCTCTTCATTTTCCACCTGCCCACATCTGTGTGGGTGGAGACTAGACAAAAATATTCACCTCTGCCCTGAAAAACCTGGGTTCTCACCGCCATTCTGCTCGCCAGGCTTAAGGGCACGACACTGGCCCCACTCTGGGCGAGAACCCGACAGGGGAGTGGGGTGCCCTTGTGTTAAGGAGGTTAGGGCAGCGCACAGAAGGACGAGCTTCGGGTTTAAGAGTTACGCAAGGTCCGTGAGTGTCCGGTTCGCGGCCCACCGAGGACCGAATGCTGCTGCTGCCGGGAAAGAAGTCAAGGGAGTTTGTAGATGCGTCGTGAAACGCAGTCCTACGGGTTACTCTTTCCCCTCCCGCAGGGAGAGCGGCGGCCTGGGCCGCTCACGGGCCCAGGGTGGGCTCCGAGCTCCTGCTGCGGCGGAAGGAGCGGGTGACCCAAGAATCTTCCTCGGGGTCGCAGTCAGACCTTACGCCCCCGTCCAACCTTGGAGAGCCTCCCCCGCTTCGCTCCAGATATCTCATGTTTTCTTTACCCCGGAATGGTTCCCGCCAGCTTTGGACCTTTCTAATTATGGGCTCTTACTTTCCAGAAGCTCTTCCAATTCCCGGTCCGCGTCGGCCGCGCCACCACGGGCGTCCTCAGAAGCAGCCATCTTCTACCTCCGGCTTGCCGTAGGAGGTGGGGCCGGCAGCGACGCGGCCCCGCCCCTCGGATTCGCGCAGCCAATGGCGCTGCAGGCCGGTGCGGAGCCGCCATTTTTAAAGGGACAGGAAGGTTGTGGGGTTTTTTTTTTTTTGCTGCTTAACTCTTGCCAGGAGCAGTTCAACGGAGGGCAACTTACTGTTATTTCGGTAATATTTCTCCTCTCTTTCAACTTTCCCCATTAACAAGAGAAGAAATAGTCAAACTTTAACACTATCTGACGTACTAATATATTTTATTTATCTTACTGTGTCCCCCAACCCGACCCCCTAGAATTTAACTACCGTGACTACAAGCATTTTCGACTTGTCTTCACTGCTGAATTCTCAGCTCCCAGCCTAGGGCCTAAAACTGAGTGGGCACTCATTGCTGCTCTCCCTGACCCTAATGAGGCGCATTTCTCTGTGGAATCTAGTGGTTAGCCCTCATTTCTATTTTCCATTAAAACTGTCAGACTAAAGGACACACAGGGCTAGGAATTTAAGTTCGAACTCAGTGTTAGCTGAATCAATTCAGGCAGAAAAAGCCACTCTGTGACCTGGGACTGATCAAGACGGCAATCTAGGACCTTTACCTGGTCCTTTTCCATTCTAAAATTCTCTAACTTAATCCTTTGATTATGCTCTTTCTCCCCAACACCCAATAACAATCTATTCCAAGCTTTCATTCAACTCCAGACTGCCTACATGTGTATCTCTAATAGGACTACAGTATCAAGCGCATATTACAGCTATTTCTACTGGCTTTACATTAACGTGGTAGTATGAGCATGTTACTAAGGAAAATACTAGATGGTGATTGAGAGAAGATGGAGATGAAAACAACATGGTTCTTCCTTGCATTTTTCTTTTTTTTTGTATTAAGGTATTATTGATATACACTTATGAAGGTTTCACAAGAAAAACAATGTGGTTACTGTATTCACCCTTATTATGAGTTCCCCACCCCCCATGCCCCATTGCAGTCACTGTCCATCAGTGTAGTAACAGACTTTGCATTACCTTTTAAACGTGCTTTGGCTTTTCTATTTTTATTACTGATACTCTTAACACCTCATCTCAGTACTACTCACCTTTTGCCTTTCTAATGTATAGTTAACACTGTTGCCAACAGTATTTCATAACATTTTCTTTTATATCATTGTCTTGCTTAAGGATTTACTGGCTCTCCACTGTTTACTGACCGACTTCAAATTCTTTCCTGGCATTCCCAGTTATTTCACATATACCCACTTTGTTTCACCAATTACATAAGCTTCAGGAGGCAGATTGTCCACTTTTTTCATATCCCTCAGTACAGAATGTTTGTTTGTATACAAAGTTAATTTTATAATTTAATCTTTAAATTTACAAAGACTTTTTGCCAAAATTTATCACAGACTTGCCTGTTTACAGGAAATGTTTCTAGCTTGAAAAAAGTAGTATACAAATTTTTGAGAAGGCAGGCAAATTTGGGGATACTATGTTTAAGAAACTGACAAAGCTAAAAAAATATAAAGGCTCTGATATAGGATCTCACTTCTAGCTTATCCTCCAGACATGCTTTCCTTACCTGTACAATATATGTTAAAGTTATTCACTCCAGCACTCTTTAAAACAGCCAGATTGGAAACAACCCAAATATTCATCAACAAGAAGGCAACTTACATATATTACAGTAAATTGTACAATGACTCACTATGTGGAAAAGGAGAAAGAGTGGAGCTCTCTAATATACTGATATAGAAAAACTGCCTAAAATAGGTTAAGTGAAAAACTAACAAGATGCAAACTTATTAAATAGTATGTATGCTACCATTTTTAGATAACACAGGGACAGGGAAGAACATACTCTGATCTGTTCTATGATATAAAAATACATTAAAAAATCTCTGGAGGATACAAGGAAGCTAACCATGGTTACTTGCTTTGGCGAAGATGATAGGAACTGGGTGGCTGAGGAAAATGAAGGGAGGAAGATATCACAAAAATAGATTTTCACAGTTACTGATTTTTGAACTATAGGAATGTACTGTTAATTGAAAATGTGAATTTAAGATGAAGTACACATTTAATCAAAGGCATTGTACATCACTCTAATTAGTCTTAGCTCATGATAAGCAAAATAATTGTGCTGTCAATGTAATCATCGTAATAAATATAATGTATTACTAATTTATCTTACATATGTATATTATCCATAAAACATCTACCAAAGTGAGAGGTTCATGACAGGTGCTCAAAAAATACTGGCTATAATTAGCAAAAGATGGAAGGTTGCAGTCAACAATGAAAGAGGAGAGCTACTTGCTTTCTATGATTCTCATAGCAATAGCAGTTTAATATATCATATGAAAAATATGTGCTTTTATTACTTTTGTAATTTAAAATAATTACCAAAGGAAAGATCATCTGCTTTGGTGGGGCAGCTGCACGGAGTAAGCAGGCACATCAGTGTGTACAGGAAACAAGAAGCGGGCCGTGAAACTCAGAGCTTACTTTATTTAGTGTGAGAAACGAAACACAAGAACAATGCTTGTAAAGAACAAATCAACAAAAAATGATATGCATTTTTGGAAAACCAAATTGTTTCTTCTCAGACTTTAGGTTTCTGGGTACCTGCCTGGGAGTTTAAATGCCCAAGGAAAACTGGGAATGGCTAAGAGTTTGCAGTGACTGAGTAAAAGATGCTGTCTTATTTATTACATCCCACTCTTCTCCAGCAAAAGGGATACAAAGGTGGTGGGGAGAAAAAGGGTAAATATTGAAGGAATTTACTGAACAACTGTCATCGCTACATTTTCATTTGTTCCTTGAAAGATCTAAGCTGGGAAGGCAAGATCAACTGTGACCACAACTGTCATCACCTTGAGAAGATGAGAAGTCCTCAGAGACCAAAAAAAAGTCAAATTTAGACATTTTATTTGCCATAGAAAAGGACAATAGGTTTTCGGGCAGGAGAGCTAACTATCAATAATTTGAGGGATGGTTAAGGATGAGGGAGTTAGGTTATAGACTGATTCTCTAGGGGAAATGTTGATTGGCCCTCCATACACAGACGGCCTTAGCGAAACTGCAGAGGACTGATCCTTAAGCCAATCACATCTTTGCCAATCTCTGTCACCTGTGGAAGAGGAAATGGAGGAAAAGGTTTAGGGACTGTGAGATGAGCAGCTTAGAAAGCTTGCTCCCTCCACTCTGCCAGGAGCATGGTAGTGCCTCACTGCCATGTTACTGACTGGTAAAAAGATGTAGGGAGAAGCTTTAGCTTTCTCCAGTATGACTGCCTCAGGAGCTAGGGGCAAATACAGGAGAAAAAAAGGGACCAGCATGCTACTTTTCCTTCCCCTTCCCTCAGTATCTTAGATGAATTTCTCAAGGTCGGTACTTACTGTAGTGACCTTGCAGATTTGACCCTTGAACTCTGGGGAATAGCAGGCCCCACTAAGTGGACACTTCTCCACTGGTTTTCCTCGGTAGATGGGCCGGTACGATGCAGCACAGATGTCAAAAGGGTTGTGCATGTCGTAATTGAGCTGGTAGGCGTCTGTGGGGTTCTTCTCACAGGCAGACAAGATCTTGCGGGTCTAAGGGAGGGACGGAATACTTTAAGAGGACTGAAAGCTGCACACAACTCAGATGGCGGCATCACTGTGGTCTGGGTGGTCCTTTGGCGTACGATGCGACCGCACTGAATGAGGATGGAATACATCCTCTGTACGGGATGCCTGCGCAGGAGGAACAAACCCTGCTCCTGTTGTGTCAGCCTCTGCCTTGCTCACTGCCCAAGTGGCCCCACAGATCCAGACCCATACTCCTCACCAAGTCTGGGAACTATCAGGGTCAAGCCCGAAAGGGTTAAAACTGGCTTCCACTGCCCAAGGAGAATGCTTGTAGAGCACACAAGTAACGGACAACATACATGGAGGCTAGTGGAGGTGGTCATGGGACATCTGGCGCTTAATGACAGGAATGGCTTATTTTTAGGAACAGTGAAGTTAAATTTTAGGTTGCAGGTCACTCTCACACTGGTGCCATGTCTAAGTTATTAGTTCAATTTCCAGGAACAAAAGGAGGCACCCATGCCAGTACATACACAGAGGATGGCATTCTGTTGGGTCTTCTTGTTAAATGTTACTCAGTGCTTTGTTTCAGAGAGGAAGACCTTGGTCTTCTATTCCCTCCACGTAAGAGCAGACCTGGGTCCCTTAGGCTCCCCGAAGGAGCTCCCCATCTACCTGTTGGGCCACCTCTGGCTTGGGCCCAAGTTCCAACAGGCGCCGAGCAAAGGTGGCAGCTGTCTTAAAGTTCTTGAGTTTGAAGAAGAGGTTGAGGGCTGTGCGCAGCACCAGGATCATGTGCACAGGCTGCAGGTTTGAGTGGGTGAAATAGGCTGCCATCTGGTGGAGAGAAAGAGGAACACATGCCAGGCAGAAGAGCAGGACACGTCATTTGTAAGTGGCTACTTACGCATTAAAAACCAACCCACCAAACACAACACTGGCTATAAAGCAGAGAAGTCTTCTGCCTTCTAGGCATGGAGGACTGCTGAGATGAGGAGGAGGATACAGAAATACATCCTCTCCTCATAGAAAGGGACTCAAATTTTCAACTCCCCAGACTGAGATCTGGGTTTGGAATTAAAACAATTCAGCCTAATGGAGCGTGGAGGGAGGAGGCCTCTGTACTGCTCAGAGGCCCAGAAAGCTCACCTCACAGATGCGCTTCTGCTGTTCCAGGGTCTCTTTGGGCAGCTTCTTCCTTTCTATCTCCATGCACAAACCTACAATGTACTCACGGCAAATGGTAATGAGCTGCTGGGCCTGAAGAAGGGGGCAAAGGAAGGCCATGTCACACGGGCAAGAAGGTGAGGGTGCCCAGACTAGGACAAGTGGCTAGGCTCCTCCTACCTCTGCGATCTCCTGTTTATTGTCCACAACCAGAAGTGGCACGCTGAGTAAAATGGAGCGGAATTTTTCAACAGCCTCCT